GACACTTTGTCAGAATGGATTAAATGTATCAGATGTATGTTAAAATCGCGCATTAAAAGATTGAGAGGCAATATGAAAACCATCTATCCTTCTGTATTCAATAATCCAGAAGTGAAAAAAGAATTAGATAGATTACATGATCAGTACGTACTGGTCCCTGCTGACAAAGCAGGTAACAACATTGTCTTTGTTTGTAAGGCTCATTATATTAAATGTATTTTAGAGGAACTTGGATTTAATTCTACAAGTGGTAATCCAACTTATACTCATAGTTCCCTTTCTAAGGAAGAAATTCTTCAAAATCATATGTCAGTTTTGAATATTTTTAATATTCCAAACAACCAAAATGAATTTGAATTACCATATTTATATTGGATTCCGAAACTTCATAAAAATCCTACAAACAAAGATACATAGCGGGTTCCAGTAAATGTTCAACCAAGCCTCTATCTTTACTCCTCACTGAGATATTAACAGTGGTGAAGGAGAAACTTCAAGAGTACTGTGCAACAATATATTCGAGAAGTGGTGTAAATCAGATGTTTGCAAAATTATTTTGTTAAAAAACATTCTGATTGTTCACACAAGTACTCTGAAGTTGACATTAAAAAGATGCTTGAGTTTCTGATTGACAATATCTATGTGGTTTTTGGAGACCAGGTCTTCCAACAATCTATTGGAATTCCCATGGGTATCAATTGCGCCCCGTTATTAGCAGACCTTTTTTTGTATTCATATGAAGCAGAATTTGTCCAAAATCTTGTACGTGAAAAGAAGAAAACACTTGCTGTGGCCTTCATCTCGACATTTAGATATATCGACGACGTATTGTCAATTAACAATGGCTATTTCCATTCTTATGTCGATACGATATATCCTTGTGAACTTGAGATAAAAGATACCACAGAGTCTGACACATCTGTTTCATATTTGGATATTTCACTTGAAAAAGACGTTAATGATAATCTAACAACCAAGCTTTATGATAAACATGATGACTTTAACTTTTCAATCGTCAACTTCCCTTACTTATGCAGCAATATACCTTCATCACCTGCATACGGGGTATATATCTCTCAGTTGATTCGATACGCAAGAGCATGCTCTACGTATGTACAATTTCTAAAACGAGGTAAATTATTGACAAATAAGTTGATGAAACAAGAATATCAGCTGTCTCGTTTAAAGTCATCATTTCGTAACTTCTATGGTCGATACAATGACCTTGTCAGCAAATACAATTTATCATTGAGTCAAATGCTGACTGACGTTTTTCATACAAATTGTTAGGCCATTATTTACACACTGAATTGTCGACGGATTTTTCCGTTATTTCCCGATCATGACAAGGAGCACACGGCGGGTGTGACCGGTCTGCAGGGGATGCTCACTCCTCCATGGCACCTGATCCCACCTCTGATGTTTGGAGGTCCGTGTTTGCTCTGCTCCTATTTTGTATTGATTAATGGACTTTTGAGCTTGAATACTGTTCGTTATCTCCATATATTTCATCTACTAGTGACTGAAAAAGAACTCTGTTTCATTTCAGGTCAAAAGTCACGGTCAAAAATTTATAAATGCCCAAAAAATGGTTTCCAGATAATAATTTTAGTTTTCCTTGAACTTTTTCTATGAAGCTTTATATCATAACTCCCAATCAGAAAACCCATTTTGCTCTGTTATGTCAAAAGGTCAAGTTAAAAAATATATCTTGCCGTGTGCTACTCTTTGTATGATCGGGAAAAACTGAAGAATTCGTAGATAATTCAGTATGTAAATAATGACCTTACAATTAGTATGAAAAACATCAGTCAGTATTAGACTTATTGATAGACTGTATTTGCTGATAAGGTCATTGTATCGACCATAGAACTTAAAAAATGATGACTTTAAAGTTACATGCATATGATGAGTCAAAATTATGTGTTTCTTTTAAGATAATAGTATCATAAAACGAAAGATTTATGTATTAAATATGAATAAAGCTAAGTTTTGACTACTCAACTGCACTGTATAGCAAGAAAAGAACTGTAAAATGTAAGTGCCGGAAAAGCAAAGGTTGTATCTATCGCTTAGTTGTTATCGTTAATGTCAACAAGGTCAAGCGACATTTACTTTTAGCTGATACTTGTAAACAACATTAAATTAAAGCAAGCAAAAGTGAGGAATAAGTTCTAATCATCTTTATTGAAGATTGTATCAAAATTCTCGGTCATCCGACATTTATATCTATGGAATTGACACCATGGTAAATTCTTCAACTTTTCTGCGCATACGTACAATAAAGAGGAAGAAGTGAAGCAATATTTTTGTGTTGGGGCAAACAAAAATTATTTTTACTTTTATTTTTCTCCATAAAAGTAATTTTTTTTTTAGGTTTTGAAACTTGTAATTTTCTGAAACCTAATATCTTCAAGAATTGAACAAAATTTGCATGTTTCATTCAAAAATTCTGCTTTTGTCAATTTTCCCCTTTTTCCGTCACGGTGTCGTAGTTCGTATGTGGACTATGCTCTTGCATATCGAATCAACTGGGAGACATAAACCCCAAATGCAGGTGATAAGGGTATATTCAACATAAGGGCAATTGCCGATTGAAAAATTCAGGTTATCACGTTTATCATAAAGCTTTCTTTTTAGATTACCATTAACGTCTTTTTCTAGTACATTATCCAAATATGAAACAGATGTGTCAGACTCTGCGGTGTGTTTTAGTCAAGTTCACAGGGATGTATTGAATCGACATATAAATGGAAGTAACTATTGTTAATTGATAATTCGTCGTAGATATATGTAAATGTCCAGTTGAAGGCTACAGCAATAATTTTCTTCTTCTCATGTAGAAGTGTTTAAAGAAACTCTTATCTCAATCAATACAAATCTGTGAACAGGGCATAAAACGCGGACCCCTGGAAATTCCAGAGGAGGGATCAGGTGCCTAGGAGGAGTAAGCATCCCTCGTCGACCGGTCGTACCCGCAGTGAGCCCTATTTATTGACCTAGTTATTTATCAGGTTCGAAAAATTTGGATATATTGTACTTCATCCATTTTTTTTAAATGGCACTAAACGAGCTGTAGATCATATGAACAAGAAAAGATAAAAGGAATATTATTAAGGAGGAGATGAAAGGTTGATGAAGTTTTGAACACATAATATTTCTCCTTTTACAATATTTCCACGTGGACAATTGCTCAGAACTTCAAAACGCAATTTCTCGTCAAATATTCCGTAGATGAAAGGATGGACCACGTATGGTAACATATTCATCCTCTTCATCGCAAAATAAACATTCAGGAAATTTTCTTTCATTAACATTTCCGGTATCTTATAATCTATGTTTTTGACTACTATTGGCGGAATGTAAAACACAATTGTCACAATGAAAGTCACCAAGAACATTGTCATTATTCTCAGGTAGTAATGGGGATTTTTTGACACCATGCCAGATATTTTTACGTTTGTTATATCTCTGTTGGCTTGGTTTATTTGATTTCTTCGAAATGATGTACGACGGTGTTCTTGGTACAGTCTGTCCATTACTTTGATATAAAATATTATAGTTATTACAATGCTCATCATAAGTAACCAGCTTAATCCTTCGTATATTCGTCTTATTGTCTGAGACGGATTGGGAAGCAAATAACACTTGTATCCCGTCACATTAGCATATATTGGATGATTTGACCAGGCCTCTGGAAAAAATGGTGGGAGCATGTATTAAAGCAGTGTTACGACTTACAGCTTTATGTTTAGCGGCGTAACATTGTGGGGCTCCTTAATCTGAATGTTGAACGAAAGACAACAGGATATAATTTGTTTTTAATATTTTATTAGATTTTATTCAATAAACATACAAAAATATTCTTCTTTGGCTCTGCGGTCCTCACCTGAAATAAAAGCAAACCAACCACCCTTTCCAACAAATGTTAATTTATAAACCACCCTTAAACAAACCCTTTAATGAATGTAAATAGACCTAATGCCTTTAGGTCTTGAATAAAGTTCCAACTAGTGATTTCTTCACTTAGTGAGTATAAATATAAAATGTCAGGTTATAGCAGACAACTAATTGTATAGGGACAAAAAGTTATGCTAACATCTCAACAAAACTCAATACAATGCACCATGCATTTGTTAGTTTGTTGTTAATAATAATGTCAGGAGTTATAAATATCACGTTCAGATCACTACTTGTGTCTGAATAAAACTCATTAAACTAATAAAGCCATCAAGTGTTGCTAACAAGTCAATACAAATTGAGGGATAATTACCCATCTAAACTCCTCTGAGCCTTGTTCTTGTAAGGTCATCGTTATCTGACAGATTTGGCGACCGCACAGTGAGTGAGACAGCAGACGTCTGACTGTCAGAGCCCGGGGAGCTCGTATATAAAGCCTTTACACCCATTATGACGTATATTGCATGAGATTTGGCGCCATAACTTCAAATAGCCGGAAAGTTTCGGATACATTTAACTATTATACGCATCCGAGGTGTTCCGAATGTACTTTACATCTTTTGCCGCTTAGTATGAAAAAGCAGAGTGTAATTGTAAGGTTTTTACTCTAATTATCAGTGAATGGATTTATTAATTACCCCAATTATCAAAGGTAAGAATATTTAGTACTATATAAAAGCATTTGTAGACCAGTGAATGGTTTATTTACGTTCCGTATTCCTCAAAACGTGGAGGAAATTCGGTACCTGGTGAACAATTTGCACCTAGCACATCATTAATTTCAAATAACTCTAATAAATAATAACAGGTAAGCAAGAATAAATATCAATACATCTCATTCATTCAATCATCCATCGAATCATCATTTTAATGACTCATATAACAAGAAACATCTTGTTTACTTACGCATAACAATAGTGGAGAATGTCAAATTCGTAACAGCAGAAAGAACAATGCAACTCGCAACAGAACACCACATCTAAAATAGGTTCATCTGGCGCATAAACGGACGACAAATCTTCTGGTACGTTTCTACAGCGATGACGGAAAGCAGAAATATACCACTATTTGAAAGTACAACTGAGCCATATTCCAGAAGCTTGCAAGGTAAGTTCCCTGGAAATTGCACATAATAGGAATTTGATAATAAGTCTACAATGCATGATATAAAAAAGGGCAAGTAGTTCAATGCAGGCTGAGATAGGAATAAAGAATCGACCAGTTGTCCGTTCTCCCATACGACTGTAGTAGATGTAGACTACCAAAACATTTGCCTGAACTCCTTCTGCTAGGACTATAAGCAAGAAAACTGTGTTTTGTACGAACAAATCCTGGTAATGATTATTCCACATATTCTGCGGTTCACTGTGATTAAGGATTGGTGCCGAATGATTCCAGATTATTTCCAATTTTCACATTACTATTGCAATTAATTTCATTTCCTTCGTGTATACTGTATTCTACAGTGATTTTGTCTCTTATATTTCACATGTTACTTATTCATGCAAACTATAATTTTGAAAGGAAAACCAGTATTTGTATGATTTTTTTATACCATTTTTAGAAGATATTTCAAACTTTATTTTTTAATGCGTTTTCTACAACTTTTCTTTCATGCGTTTTCTACAACTTTGAATAGATGCGAAAACTTAAAAATAATAATTTTAAATTTGGTGTCAAAAACAAAGATGAAGGTATGATTTTAGCTGTATTGTGCCCTAAAAAGAATGGGTGGACTTAACTGGCCAGAAAAAATGCCGTAAATTAAAGTTTCATAAAATGTTTATTTCTTTCCATCATATAAATCCCCGATATCTTTACCGTGTATTCATGGTACAGATGTGAATTTAAAATGCTCTTTTCAAGGTAAACTAAATAGATATCGAAGGCATCGTGTCTGAAGATTTCTTGAATATCAATAGATCATCAGGGTCATGCGTTTTTCATCGTCTGAATACATAGTCAGAGCATGTTTGTCGGCTGTTCTTAAGAAAACTGTAGTTGTATATTGAACAAAATAATGTCATATTAAAAGGAGAAGAGCCGACAAACGTGCGCTCACACTTAATTTAACAAAAAACATGTTCAAAACAAACTTCTCGTTTCCATTGTTATGACTGAGTTAACCTTGATTTGACTTCGATTGACCTGTTAAATATTACAATTCATCACGTGATGTCCACCTGCGAGTGTACTCGTGAAAACAGTTACATTGTATTCTTCAACCTGATCTCGATCTAAATCACGTCTTTGAGCGTGTTTGGTTGCCGTTTTCAGAATTTAGCAAATTAAATGTTGTTTTAATTTTGCGTGTCCACACATTTTTTTTTAATTTCATATTGATATCGCTGTAATATGCCAAACACATATACGAATTTCTAGAGAGAGAGAGATGTCAACAATGACGCCGATCGATAGCCCCGCCTCCTATTAATATTGATTACGTGACCAAAAAACCACTCCGGGTACATGCCAAATTCCGGAAGACGACACTAATGTATCGTTGCTTCAATTTTGATTCATGGCAACAGCGCATTGCTTTTGTACAAATGTTCTACCTAATATAACCATGTATATGTAACTCTTTCTATTGCTTGTAATATATTTTGGATTCACTTCATTTACAGCTTAGTAGAGTAGTCGCAAAAAGATCCCAAATAGGGCGTTAAGTCCACCCATTCTTTAATATTTTCAAAAAGTTTTAAAACTGGCTGAAATATTAGTTGAGTATATGACTGTGATAAATAAGGAAAGCATTCTGGAAATTTGTCGCCATAAATTTGATGTATTTCTCTATTTTAAACAGAAAAACCTCAAAATGAACCATCTGAAGGGTTCTTTTCCTTTAAAAAATTAGTGTCCACAGCCGTCGCCCACTTTAATTTTCGGATATGTTGTATAAACTTCTTTGAAAAAATCACATATCTCAAAATGCTTGTGGGCGATGCCTGTGGACAACATAATCTGAAAGAAAATTCCAGTGAAAATTTGTGTCTTCTGCAGCTTTTTAAGAAAATACGGGAAAATGCACAAGCTTTTGACGTCACAATTAGCATTTGGAAGGTTATGTGAGAAAAATGATTTGTATGATCTTCCTACATGGAATTTCAATGATTCAGAAAGCATGAGTTTTGATTTTTTTTTTTTTTACATCACTTTCATTTTTAAGAAAAACACAGGGCAAGTTTGTATTGAAACCGTACTTGTTCTTTGTTATCTCGACTTCCTGCTTTTGGTGTATCACCAAGTTGGATAACAAAGAAATAGAAATCAAACGTAATAAACATATATATTTTCAATGGTTCCTATTTCAAAGTCTAGTCTTAAATACGAAAAAGAAAGTTTAAGTTTCTTTCCAAATTTTAAATTAACTTTATTTTTAAACTGGTTGTAAAATGTTAAGTTTAAAATAAATTTTCCTGAGTAGAGGCGTAGTTCAACTTTTAATACATGGGACTGAGTAGAAAGCATAAAATCATCCTGAAAAAACTCATAATTCTCAAGAGTTTGTGTCGGTAAACTCGGACCACCTTTTCAAATATCAAAGTTCGTGGCATTCATATATTTTAACACCAAAGATTGAGATCAGCCTTTCACACTAGTAATTCAGAGAACTCTCTCTCTCTCTCTCTCTAATATATTGATTGATATATTCTATAAAGTTTTACATTAATGAAATACCTACAATTTTGTATGTGTTACAAACATTTTCCTCAATTTAAGTGTTGTACATGCTACCAGGTAACTCGCGAGAAATGATCGTGCATGACAAGATTGCATAAATTTTGTCGTATTATGGATGCACTTAATGTTGTCAATTATTATCTATGAAATTGTGATTGGGAATGTGGGATTTCTAGGAGATCATGAACCAAAGAAGTAAATTTATTTCAATTATAGATAAATGAAATAAATATCTAAATAAACCATAGTTTCATCTGCCTAGAAATACAGAACTTGAGTTTTGAAACGCATACAACTCTTTTTTTTGTTACTTGGCATTTAATGTAATTAGCCTTTTACAGTCCATATATGAGGTCAATCTGACTAAAGCCAGCCCCTACTATTTCACTTCGAACGAAGTGAAATAGTAGGGGCTGTTTTTAGTCAGAATGTATATGAGGTCAAAGGTTGTAGTATATAACCATTTATAACTCTTAGATCATTAAAAGATGCTACTATTTCGTGGTTCACCGACTACGAGCGTCTGTGGTTTATTGACCTGGTGCATTCAAGACACTTAAAATTGCATACAAAAACAAAAAAATAATTGTAATTTAAATGAATAGGCTTCCCTAATCCAGACTGATAACTCATCTAAGATAAAGATTTTAAGAGTACATTTGTTTGCATTTTCCTTTTTTTAAAAGGACATATTATTGATGTAATGATTTTAATTTTAATATATGTTGAAAGACAAAAGTGATAGAAAAAGAGCTAAATTTTTAACAAGTAGATTAATTGTTCACAGAACAATAAGAGTTATTGTCACCTGCTTTAAATTCAATCAGTTCTTTTTATATGTAGCTCTCACGAGATAAATTTCATGAAAAAGAAACCAAAAATGATTTAAATTATTGGAAAAATGAAAATTTTCAAAACTTAAGCGACCGTGACCTTTAACCTTGATCAATTGTTCAAGGTCGAATGTCAAGGATCACATTGCAGTATGTCCAATTTTCTACGGCTATTCGTTTACAAGTGTTAGGTTTAACAATAAACCCAGATATATACAAGGGCAATTACTTACTTAGGGGTTGTCCGATCCCTGCGCAGTGAATAGACTGGAGCTTTGTCTCGAGAAACTTAAGGCAGTATTGAAGCTTTGGTGTCTTTACAGTTTACGGTTTCAGAGGAGTAACGCTAAGGGTTCAGACTTAGGGTTCAGGAAAAGAAATTCAATCCCGATTTTAAAGGACTTATTAAAAATTCAATGATATTTAATATATGTTGAAAGACATAAGAGATCTTAGTTTCTCATACTTTGAATGACCTTGACATTTGACTTCTACATAAATTTTTTAAGATCAAAGATTGAAGACTCTAATGCAGTAGGTTCCATGTCTCCATGAATAACCGTTCTAAAAAAATTCAATCATTTGTAAACATTAGAAACTTTTCGGGGTAATAACTTATAAAAAAAACTTTGACGAATCCTTTCGCACTGAAAAGATTGAAGAGTCGCATTTAATAGTCGTATACATTAATGAAGGTTTCATATTTCTACAGTTTATGGTTTCGGAGGATAAAAGGTTTATCTTGCAAAAGGCAATAACTTCAAAAGGGGTCATAGTTCTCATGCGTTAGGTCGTTTTTCGTTTATCTTAAGATATTAAGTATCATGAAATAATAAGTCTCCCGATAAGCCTTTCGGTTTCAAATAATCCCGGCGGGAAAAAATACACATAAGCATTTCAAGAGGTCTTTCGGCAGAAACTGGAAAGACCTAGTAAGAAACTATAAGTACGACTTCCAAAGAATTTCGAATTCAACGTTAAAACACATTTATCTTTGTTGATGCATTCTGGAAAAGGTCAAATTGTTACTATTAGAATAACATAATTTAAATAACATAAAAGAAATATCCACCCACTTTTTAAATAGGATATCAAAATTTAAGACGTTCAAGTTTTTTTCTGCAGAATAAACTTTTACTTTTATTTGATACAAATGCACGTGATGTTTTAATATGTAGCATCGATGGAAACACTTGGTAGGTCTCGCTTTTCTTACCTCAGTGAAACCGACCGTTGGTTTCTGACGATGTACATTTAGATGTTTTTTAAAGGATAGCAATCGTGATTTCAAAATGTTTAAAAATGAATGTTTACTTACCTTTAATCTTTCTCATTTCAATTAAAGGAATACTTTTGGTTCACATGAATTTGCTTGTTGAGTTTGAAGAGGAAGATTATGAAGCCAAAGTACAGAAATGAAAATGCCATACTTTCCGCTTGATCTTTGAATAATATTTTCAGTGTCTCAGCGGAAACTACTTGTAATTTTAAAAAATACCTAAATCTCATTAATATAGGACAATGACAAATTTAACCCAGACAATGAAGTTGAAATTCCAACTGGAAGAATAGATGGGATTCTTTCAACAAATACCAACAGTACAAAAATGGAACAATCACTTTACATTCAAACAAAGAAGAAATTTTCTGTCAAAATGAAGGAAATTAAATCAGGTAGGGTCACAACTAAATTAGAATTTTAGTTCATAATCTGAAAATTAAAACGGTTACAGAAAATCAGAAAAGGGGAAATTGCCTGGAGGAGGAAGATATTTTAGGATATATAAAAGGAAACTTTCAGCTATTTCATACTTGTAGGGATTGCAGAATTGCAAAAATAAATATGTTCAATACAACGCAATCATCTATTGTGCAGCATTTTATAACTCTGCAGAAATGGAGCGAGGAAGTTTCAAACAGATACCTTCCAAACACAATTTTGATTTTCCTAGGACTTTTTATAGGAATTCCAGGCAATCTTCTTGTTATTATTTCATATAGTTGTCGTTTGATAAAGCATGAAAAAGGGAGATACTTAATTTTACCTCTAGCTTACGTGGACATCATCGGGTTGTTGATCATTAAACATCCTTCGCAATACAAAGTATGCTAACTTTCCTGGGATGTGGACTTGTAAAATGCTTATATATGGAAGCTTGACGGTCACCACTCTCTCACTTTGCATTTTGAATATCATAGCTATCCAAAGGTTCCAAAAAATTTGCCGGCATTTTTCCTGGCAAATGACTAAAATCTACTTGCAGCTGGCTCTTACAGGTTCTATTTTGATTAGAGTTTTATTGAACATACCTAGTATGTTTTTATATGGGACAGTATCTGTTACCGATCCATATTCATCAAATTTAATAGGGACAGTGTGCCAGAATCTACTTCCTGGTCCTACAATAGAAATGAAAGTATATCAGGGTATAGGAGCAACAATTACTACAGCAAACGTCGTTAGTATAGTCACTCTCTATCTTTTGATTGCTAAAAGAGTATTTCGAAAAGTTAGATTAAGTCATTCTGTATGGGTATCAACAACAAAATGTGATGTCTTCAAATCGACTAAAGTAGGCACAACAGCAAAGAAACGCAAGGAAACTGTCCAGCGACTCTCCATTATGTTCATGGTCATTTCCTTCATGACCATACTTTCGTATCTTCCATCATGGATACTGATAGCAATTGAAACATATAATTCTGGGTTTTGGAAAGAAATTTCCGAACCCATTTTTCATATACTGGTAATATTGAGACGAATGTATATTTTAAATCATTTATTTAATCCATTTATTTATGGAATTTATGATTCAGATTTTCGGAAGCAAATCCGAAAAATCGTTTGTAATTTTTAAATATCAATTTTGATGTATCAGAAAGTAAATGATAATTCGTATCATTCTTTAGTTAGACTGTTTTTCATACGGATTTTTCCTTTTGTCCGATCATGACAAGGAACACACAGTGGGTGTGACCTGTTGACAGGGGATGTTTACTCAAGATAGCACCTGATCCCACCTCTGATGCTTTTAGAGGTCCGCGTTTATTTTGCTCCAAATTTGTTTTGTCTGGAATTTTAAGCTTGGTTACTGTTCGTTATATTTATATTTAATTTGTATTCAAAATGAATATTTTCGACTGAAAACGTGCTCAAGGACTTAGCATCGTTCTTTAAACTTTAGATCCAGCTAGAAAAAAAATTGGCATGCATACAGAAGCTTTAAAAACTTCGACAAAGAAAAGGCATAAAAAAAGACAGAAAAAACAACAAAACCTTAAAAAGCCATATTGCAATTTTAAAAATATGGAGGATGCAATCGGTCTTTGAATAACAAAATTAACGGTTACCACAGAAAATTTGGAACAAAATGTCTGATGAAAAAAAGTCATCATCTTCTGAACAGATGAGCTACAGATAAGCTAATGTTAATATGCTCAGCTATCTGTGTGGTATATAAATATTGTAATGATTGTTTGTAGTGCCATTTTGCAATGAAAATCATCAGACAGTGCGATTTAGCATTTCTTCATTTCTTAGCATTCAAATATAGGTAGTTTGTTTTAAAGCAAGTGATATTTATAATGATGGAAAAGTTATTTTGTGATACTTTGTATTTTGTTTTTCTCGTGTGCATTCATAAAAATCTGGTCAGACACGTATAATTTAAATATGTTTAATTAATTAAAGCAAGGTACGTGTATATTTATATTATTTTTAGATTTTAGGTAACCATGAAGCTGAGAACAATAATTCTTAAAATAAGGAAGAGCTTTATGTCAAAGATGAAGATAACAAACAGTGATCAATCTAAAAAATCCAGTAAACAAAACGATTCGTAAACAGATCAAACACAGATCCCTGGAAACACCAAAGTTTGGATCAGGGGATTAGGAAGAATAAGCTTGTCCTGGTCGACCGGTCATACCAGTTAGAACCGTATGTATTGATCAGGTAGAAGGTAGTCCAAATTAGCATAAAGGTAATAACTTATCAAATTACTAGTATATGCAACATGTCCGAAAAAAATACGACCAAATGATAGTTTGTCTTTACAACAAGGTTGATTGAACGACCGTAGAATTCGCAAATAGTTGACTTTAAACGGAATGCCTGAAATGCTAGTACCATTCACTTAGTTTTTTTGTGCTTCATTTGTAGCTTGTGTCGGTTAAACAATTAATTGTACTCCAAACATGCTTTAGGGTATCGAATAATTGGGGGGTGGGGGCATAAACACCGTGTACAGGTGATAGCGGATCATTACTACACTTATAAGGGACGTTAACGATGAGCTGAGGTCATCCCATTTGTTACACAGATTAGTTATCAGTTGGCCATTATCATATCAAGTCGATATCTATTGTTAACTGATAAAACACCGTCGATATATCTAAATCTTGTGTAGAAGGCAACAGCAAGAGTTTTTTTTCTTAACAATTAGAAGTTTTAGCACAAAATCTGCTTCATATCAATATAAAATAGGTCGGCTAATAAAAGAAGCACATTTAGTGTCAATCAAAATTCCGGTAGATTGTTGGAAGACCTGGTCTCCAAAAACTACTACATACATGTAGATGTTATCCCTAAGGAACCCCAGCATTTTTTCATATCTAATCTCAACTCCAGAGTACTGGTATGTAGAATCAGAAGGATTTTTAACAACGTTAATATCTGAGTTCCGTTTTTATGCTTATCACAATTTTTGCGAAATTATAGCAAAACCCTATCATTTTTAAATTCATTGTCCTAATTTTGCAATTCTTCGTCTGGTTTAATAAAGTTAGTTTAATTTACTTTGTAAGTTCACAATGGGCGAAAGCTATTTTTTTGCTATCTAGAAATGCTCGCAAAGAGAGCGGGGAATTGGATTTTGGCGAGGGAGAAATCCGTTATACGGTAGTAAATATAAACCGAAAGGATTCTTCATCTTAGTATCACCGTTCACGGTAGTTCAGTTGGTAGAGCGCTCGCTCCGTGATCGGGAGATCGTGAGTTCGAATCTCGGTCGCGACTGACCTAAGTCGATAAAAAATGGGTAGCAACTGTTCCTTCGCCATGCGCTCGGCACTTTGAAGTGAAAGTTGCGGGTCCTTCGGATGAGACCTTAAAAACCGAGGCCCCGTGTCACGGCAGGCGTTGGCACGATAAAGATCCCTCACTGCTCAATGGCCCTGAGTGCCGAGTAAAGGCTCAAATTGAAGCCCTTCACCGGTATATGGTGACGTCTCTCTCACATATGCAGTCTTGAGGGTTCTTAAGATGCCATAGGTAAAATCAGCTATATCTTAAATTCCCAAATATTACCTTTTTCTGATATGATATAAGTGCAATGTGAGACATATTGAAGTAATAGTAAGAAGTAAACATGTGGAAACCATGGATTATTGCTGGGAAAGAGTCTGGAAAATACAAGCAAATAATCGAAATTGTTTTGCCTTATCAATGTTCAAGAGAGGTTTTTCACGTCCTAATAAACTGACAAGTACTGACACATGCACTTAGGTTCCATGTCCTGATTTCAAATAGGAGTCAAATTGTATAAAACATACGTATTTCAGTGTAAAACTAAAGGATTTTCACTGTTACGAAGGCAGTATTTCGTCATGTTGACAAAAACATAATTTACAATGCAAATTAACATAACTGAGAGCCATTACAAACAATTGTTCTCTCTCTCTCTCTCTTGTAATGATCAATCAAACCACAGATATATACAAAACATAAAATATACAATCTTTGCAAAACTAACCCTCTGCTGTTCAAGAAAGTGGATAGGTCAAACAAAACAAAATGCAGAATAATTTTCAAATTAAAAAATACCTTCACTGCTACCTTAGAAATATTTGTTCATTTAGCTATAGATGATATAAAGCTTTACGTACACTTCAAATGAGCCATTTCAAACCAATGCTCTCTGGGTCAACACGCCATATATAAAAGGATGCAGAACACAACATGTAATACACATTCTTCGCAAAGCTAAAACTGAAAAGAATGGTTAGGCAAATTTCTCCAAAACTGGGGATTCCTTGATTCGATGACAGTAAGTAATGCTGATGGCAAATATCCAACAACTGTAATGATAGAAATTGTTAAAAACAAATCAATAATTTTATGATTTTTATGAAGTCTTCTTTGGATAGTTACAGGCTCTCCGTATGTTGGTTTTTTGCCGTACCGATCTTTCTTTCTCATCTCTTTTTGAATTTCTTTAAGATCTATTCGACGTTTTCTCATTCTCATTTGGTTCGAACATATTTTCTTAAGAATTAATATATAGAGTATTGATAATAAAAAAAAATTCTTCCAAAATATAAGACGGACAAACCTAAGTACACAGGCATTGCTGCGTCTATGATGTTTTCCCTAGCTTGGCATCTATAGCCAGTTATATTTTGAAATTACTAATTCGCCACTTTAACTAAACTATTATATATCACACTTGGTACGCTAGCAAATAACGCAACCAAACAGCAAACAACAACTGAGATGTGCATTGTGAGGTAATTCATCTGATTCCCAAATAATCTACATATCTTTTAATGTCTTTGAATGGCAATGACATTTAAAAGTTAAAAAAAAATAGATAGATTACACGATCAGTACGTACTGGTCCCTGCTGACAAAGCAGGTAACAACATTGTCTTTGTTTGTAAGGCTCATTATATAA